AATTCATAAATAATATACTAATATTATTAGTTGACGCTCTTAAAAACATTACACAAACTTTTAGAAAAATGAAACTTTTAGCAGGGTAAAGACTACTAAGATAGGCTACCTGATTTACAATTAATGCTGATTGTGGACACCAGTAGATTCTTCTGGGTTTATTTATGCAGAAGAGATTAACAAACCATTCAATCTTAAGAAAATTAGGCAGAGGTATCTGTCTCAAATGTGGCAGAAAATTGACAACATAATAACAAAGGATTGGCTTCAAACTCACAGCTGAAAAATCTCCCATTGAATCATTTATCTGGAGAAAACACCTTTCTTGGGATAAATCCTTTTCCTAAAGTTATCGTAGAAAAAGAATGTTAAATGATATTATCAAGTATACTAAAACACACTAATTTATAATATCTTGTAAGGACAGGATCTTGTGATCATAAGCACTGCTCTATAGAATAGTTAGTATACTACACCAGGTGAGTGAGAACTTCTGATATTTCTTACCCTGGCATCATATTCAAGGACAAAGGGAGGAAAGTCGATCTGTTCTGGTGATATGGCAGAAAATAGCTGGTGGAGGCTGTCCACATGGTGGATTTTGTCCTTCAGTCCTGAGACAGAAAAGGTGGTGAAAAACCATGTTGACACCTGATTAACAGAAGAGAAGAAAATAATTTAAGCCACTCACCACAGTTAGAAATACAAACACAATTTTGAAAATTCATAATAGATTAAAAACTATATTTCATAATCTTAAAATAACCAGTGTTTTTCAAAGTGCAGTTTGTAGTTCATCAGTGAGTTGTGTAATCAGTTTAACTGATTATGAACAACGTTAAAAAAAAGAACGAAACCAGGATAACAATTACTAAGGGCTGTAATGAGGATGAGTTTCATTTCACGAAGCTTTTGTTTCCACTACACGTCCATTTGCTCCCATGTGTGCAGTGTGTTGTGGTGTATCATATGCCTCTTAGTACGGGCTGTAGTCAAAACCACCGCATTATTTGGTAGAATAATTAGTGCTCGTGTACTCGGAAAATGGTTAATATCTCCAAACTTTACAAACTCAATTTTTCAAATGAGACTGAAAAGAAAATGTTGCCAATATTTGAGACTTCGATATGTTCAGTTGACATTTGGCACGCAGTCTCTTTCTTGACGTCAATCACCTGTGAATCACCTGTGGATGCGGAGCCAGCTCATTTCGCTGTACTGTTTACAAGCCCTGTATAAAAAAGCTAGTCTGCAAAATTCGTTGGTTCCCAAAAAAAGAAAGGGAAAATTCTTGATAGAAAAGAATACCGACATAAAGTAGGGAAACTTATAAATTATTGCTTATTTATCTAAATTAGCAATCATAAATTAGTCCACATTTATCAATGGTCCTGTGAGGTAAGTGTGATACTGTTGCTATTTCCATTTACAGAAGAAGATAACCTACGCATCTGAACTTTCAGTGTACTGGCATAACATACCCTAAGTGGGTACAAACTGGGTACATTATAAATACATGCCACTTTGGGTGCCTACTACTGATATCAATCGTTTTGTTAATTTCTCTTTGGCACCCTGTCATGTTCTTCAGTGGCTGTTCCAAACCTTTAACATATTCTAGGTCCCTGAAATGACATTTCTTCATACTTACTTGTGAGGAAACACATAGAACAACAGAGACAATACTTAGTTATCACTATCAGAATCCTATTCAAACTTCCGGACTCAGTACAAGCGTCATTTCCACCACTATTTCTCCCTTCTAGCTCCAAATAGATTATCCCCTCAACTGATGTCTTATAACCTTACGTTTAAATCTCATTTATAGCACTTATTCTTACTTTCTAGTATGTCAGTTACTTATATTCATTTCTATAATCTCTCTAGTACCTAGCAGATAAATAATCACTGAGTTCTCAAGTACTTGTTCAAGAATGAATGAGGTCTATTTTATTCCTGTGGTAAATTTAAACTTAAACAAAAAGATAAGGCCTATTTTATCACAATTTTTATAGCTCAGGTCATAGCTTCTGTCAGCTATACTACCAATGACCGATAAAAGGCCTCAAATATTAACATTACCCCTACACCTTCTCCCCTCTCCTTTTTTTTTTTT